ACATGTGAAATGGGTGCATAAGAATATTATGCTCAGCCTGAAATACAATCATAAAGTTGAAAGTACCAGAGATTCCTAGAGGCATACCATCTGAAAAGCTTCCTTGACCAATTGGGTAGATCAAGAAAACTGCAGTAGCAGCTGCGACGGGAGCTGAATATGCAACAGCAATCCAAGGGCGCATACCCAGACGAAAACTAAGTTCCCACTCACGACCCATGTAACAAGCTACACCAAGTAAGAAGTGTAGAACAATTAGTTCATAAGGACCACCATTGTATAACCATTCATCAACGGATGCAGCTTCCCATATCGGGTAAAAGTGCAAACCGATAGCCGCAGAAGTAGGAATAATGGCACCAGAAATAATATTGTTTCCGTAAAGTAGAGATCCAGAAACAGGCTCACGAATACCATCAATATCTACTGGAGGGGCAGCAATGAAAGCGATAATAAATACAGAAGTTGCGGTCAATAAGGTAGGGATCATCAAAACACCAAACCATCCAATGTAAAGACGGTTTTCAGTGCTGGTTATCCAGTTACAGAAGCGACCCCATAGGTTTTCGCTATCGCGTCTCTCTAAAATTGCAGTCATGGTAAAATCTTGGGTTTATTGAAATTTAATTATCAGGGACTCCCAAGCACACGAATTCTCTAGAACTATAGAATTAAGGGCTTGTTATAAAACAGTATAACATGACTTATATACGGGTGTCAACCAATACCACTATCCACTGTATCCTGTTATTGATCTAGATTCAGACAAATTGTGTTTTTTTACCTCATTTCACCATCCATTCAAAAAAAAGAAAAAAAGTGTTTTCTATATTCTCTAGATATGACTTCGCTATGATATGTAATAGTGATAGATTCATTATTTCGCTATATTAAGTACAATTTATCTATTCATTATAATGGGTTGCCCGGGACTCGAACCCGGAACTAGTCGGATGGAGTAGAAAATTCATTGTTTAATCAAATAAAACAATAAAAAATCCCTCCCCAAGCCGTGCATGCATTTTTCATTGCACACGGCTTTCCCTATGTATACATCTAAACCTGAGTTACTTCAGAGGAATCTTGAAACTCAACTCTAAACTACATGAACATTTCAAAATCCTTTCTATATATATATTGAAATAGATATTTAAGTATCATAACATAACCAATCATTCATCATGGACCAGATCGTTACTGAAAAGAATATCCAAATACCAAATGCGATTTCTATGTAACCGCTGCAAAGTAGAGGAATCTCTTGGAAAAAGAAAAGCAAGAATCTCTTCTTCCTCTGTAAAGAATTCTTGCAAGAATTCTTCTGAACCTGATCTTTTCAAAAAAGCGCGTACAGTACTTTTATGTTTACAAGCCAAAGTTTTAATACAAGAAAGCCGAAGTATATACTTTATTCGATACAAACTTTTTTTTTTTGAGGATCCATTATAATAATGAGAAAGATTTCTGCATATTCCCAAAAATCGGTCAATAATATCAAAATCAGATGAATCGGCCCAGACCGGCTTACTAATGGGCTGCCCTAATACATTACAAAATTTCGCTTTAGCCAATGATCTAATTAGAGGAATAATTGGAACTATTATATCAAGTTTTTTGATAACAATTTCTATTAGAAATGTATTTTGCAGCATTTGACTCCGTACCACTGAACGATTTAGTCGCACATTTGAAAAATAGCCTAACAGCTGAAATGAATGTTCGGATAATGGGTTTATATTGATCATTCTGGGTTGAGACCAAACATCAAAAAAACATTGCCATAAATGGATAAAAAAGTGTTTCCATTTATTCATCAAAAAAGGCGCATTCTTTGAAGCCAGAATGCATTTTCCTTGATATCGAACATAATGAATGTTAGGATCCTTGAAGAATGTTAAAGTATACGAAAAATCTTTAGCAAAAACTTTGACAAGATGCTCTCTTTTTGCATAAAAAAAAATTCGCTCAAAAAAAACGCTAAAAGATTTTAATCGTAAATGAGAGGATTTATTACGTAGAAAAACGAAGATAGATTCATATTCACATACATAAAAATTATAGAGGAACAAGAAGAATCTTCGATGACTTTTTGAAAAAGTAGAAATTGATTTTTTGGTAGTAATAAAACTATTCCAATTCCAAAGAAACAGCCGTAAGAAATGAAAAAAAGGGGCATCTTTCACCCAGTATCGAAGGATTTGAACTAAGATTTCCAGATGGATAGGATAGGGTATTCGTATATCTGACACATAATTCAAATATGTCAATTTATCCTCCAAAAAGGGAAAAATGGAATGAATTGATCTCAAATTTTTATAAGATTTGATGATTTCTTCCTCCTCTAAGGAAGAGCTTAATTGTAGGAAAAATGGAATTTCCACGACGATGGCAAAACCCTCTGATATTATTTGAGAATAATAATTATTCTTATACCCCCAAAATGGATTTTTGTTAGAATCATTAGCCCAAATGATTAAATGATTCTGTTGATACATTCGAGTAATTAACCGTTTTACAATTAGTAAACTATATTTCTTGTCATAACCTATATTTTCCACAAAAATGGATCTATTCAAATTATGACTATAAGCAAGTCCATAAATATACTCCCTAAAAATAAGTGGGTATAGGAAGTGCTGTTGGCGAGATCTAGCTCGTTCTAAATAGACTTTATATTCCTTCATTTTAGAAATGATATTTGGTCAAAGGATCAGAGATTCATTGGATTATCAAATGATACATAGTGCGATACAGTCAAAACAAGGTATTCTATATCTATATTCGAATTGAAATAAAAAACAAATATGAATAGATACCTAGAAAACGAGTTAAAACACATTAATGGACTATCTCCCCTCGCTTGTTCCTTCTAATTTTTCTAGGACAACAAGCTAGTTAGAAATCCTTTATTTTTTGGGGACCAATCGCTCTTTTGATTTTGGAAAAAAATATCTTTATCAATATACTCTTTCTTCTACACATTTCTTGCTACCCCATAACATAATGGGGAATAGCTAATAATTAGGACTCATAACAAAAATCCTTAATCCATTCGTGGGAAAAACTTTTTCCACAGCAAGCACTAATCCTTTTTTAACGTATAACTAGATGTGGTAATCATTCCAATAAAAAATGAAAGCTCGTTGCTTTTTCTTTCCCTAGAATTCGAGCAGCTAAGCTCTATCCCTTTATTAATTCAACCCAACGGAATTCATTTGTTCCCAGCCAACAATTCAAAGAAAAAGATTGGTCGGATCCAATATGAATGAAAAATTTTTTGAATTCACCGTTGATACGACATGCTGCTTTTTCCATTCATTCCTTTCTGGATCAGTCGTGGTCTTACAAACCCTACCGATGGTATGGATGAACCAATTAGTTCATAGAAATGTGTAAAAAATGGAGTCGCACTTAAAAGCCGAGTACTCTACCATTGAGTTAGCAACCCTAATAAAATTACAAACAAGGATCTGTATATCCAATCGCAATAAAAAAAAGATGGAATTCTATAAATAATAGAATCAAATGTTACATATTACATTATATTACAATACAATGAAAAAAAGAAAAAATGAGAATCAAAAATGATAGACGACTTGTTTAGTACAGTACTGTAGTTATTTGTCTATTAATATAGTTTTAAATTAGTATTATTTTTTTCATATTTCTATTTCAAGAAAAAAAACTTCTTGTTTGTATCAAACAAAATCAAAATACAATGAATCCACCATTTGATGAAGTAAAAAACCTATGTGACATGAGTCAATCCATCCATTGATTCACGATCAGATTATATTTGTTTGATACACTGTTGTCAATATTAGTGTTGAAAAAAAGAATACAATCGAGAAAACAAATAAAAAAATATTTCTATTCTCATTTTTAAATAGAAAATATTTCTATTTTAATTCATTCTATTCCAAATCAAAAAAGAAGAATGAACTAGAAAAAAAATAGATCAATCCGAAAGATCTATAGGATTCATTCTAGATACAACAAGTATTTTTGTATTGTGTATTGTATTCGGCTCAATCCTTTTAGTAAAAGATTGGGCCGAGTTTAATGGAAATTAATAGAACGAATGATTATTACTGGATTACAAAGTATCCATTGCTGGGAATTCAAATTTGATTTCCTTCCAGACATCACAAGCAGCAGCTAATTCAGGACTCCATTTGCAAGCTTCACGGATAATTGCATTACCCTCGCGAGCAAGATCACGTCCCTCATTCCGAGCTTGTACACATGCTTCCAGAGCTACTCGATTCGCTACGGCACCAGGTGCATTTCCCCAAGGGTGTCCTAAAGTTCCTCCACCGAATTGGAGTACAGAATCATCTCCAAATATCTCGGTCAGAGCAGGCATATGCCAAACGTGAATACCCCCTGAAGCAACAGGGATAACACCTGGTAAAGAAACCCAATCCTGAGTGAAATAAATACCGCGACTTCTATCTTTTTCAATATAATCATCACGTAGTAAATCAACAAAACCTAACGTAATCTCCCTCTCTCCTTCAAGTTTACCTACTACAGTACCAGCGTGAATATGATCTCCACCAGACATACGTAAGGCTTTAGCTAATACACGAAAGTGCATACCATGATTTTTTTGTCTATCGATAACTGCATGCATAGCACGGTGGATATGAAGAAGTAGACCATTATCGCGGCAATAGTGAGACAGGGTAGTATTTGCAGTGAATCCACCTGTTAAGTAGTCATGCATTACGATAGGAACGCCCAATTCTCTAGCAAATACAGCTCTTTTTAGCATTTCTTCACATGTACCCGCAGTAGCATTCAAATAATGTCCTTTGATTTCACCTGTTTCGGCCTGTGATTTATAAATTGCTTCGGCACAAAATAAGAAACGGTCTCTCCAACGCATAAATGGTTGGGAGTTCACATTTTCATCATCTTTGGTAAAATCAAGTCCCCCGCGGAGACATTCATAAACTGCTCTACCATAATTCTTAGCGGATAAACCCAATTTTGGTTTAATAGTACATCCCAATAGGGGACGTCCATACTTGTTCAATTTATCTCTCTCAACTTGGATTCCGTGAGGAGGACCTTGGAAAGTTTTAACATAAGCATTAGGGATTCGCAAATCTTCCAGACGTAGAGCGCGTAAAGCCTTGAACCCAAATACATTACCTACAATGGAGGTAAACATGTTAGTAACAGAACCTTCTTCAAAAAGGTCTAAGGGATAAGCTACATAAGCAATAAATTGATTATCTTCTCCAGGAACAGGCTCTATCTCGTAGCAGCGTCCTTTATAACGATCAAGGCTGGTAAGTCCATCGGTCCACACAGTTGTCCATGTACCAGTGGAAGATTCTGCAGCTACCGCTGCACCTGCTTCTTCAGCCGGAACTCCTGGTTGAGGAGTTACTCGGAATGCTGCCAAGATATCAGTATCTTTGGTTTGATATTCAGGAGTATAATAAGTCAATTTATAATCTTTAACACCAGCTTGGAACCCAACCTTTGCTTTAGTTTCTGTTTGTGGTGACATAAATCCCCCCCCTACAACGCATGAATTAAGAATTATAGCAAGAACAAGGTCTACTCGACATAACTTAGGAGTTAAGAAAACCTTTTTACAAATGATCCATCAACTAATATTATCAATTAATCCGAATGGGTCATTGTTCAATTTTACCATGATATTTGATTTGGCAAATACATCATTATTCTATACTGTTTCATATGTATGGCGCAACCCAACCGTTTTTTTTTGAGTCTCTTATTTTTTTTTTTTTGAATTTTGGAATCTCATTTTCTAATCTAAATAATAAAAAATATACTCTTGACCTTGACAGTGATATATGTTGTATATGTAAATCCTAGATGTCAAAATCGGCAGAATTTGCCCAATAAAAAGAAAAATTGGTAAAAAGAATCTGCATAGTATAAATCCTATGCTGAGGAAAGAAAAAAGAAGGACCAATGAGATAGAAAAACGGAATCATAAACAAACAAAGTTCAGGTTCGAATTACATAGATAATATAGATAGTATTGTCTATAATCTAGAATGATAAACAAATATCTAGAATGATAAACAAATGAAAGGACTTTCAAAAGATTTCATCCAATTAAAATTTTCATAATGACTGGGTTTGACCTTGAAAATTCACTCATTGAATTTAAAAACACTTGAATTGGGTTGGATGTACCAAGAAAATCGATTATTAACTTACATTTATTCTTTTATATATTATTAAATATTAAGAAAATTAAGAATATTAACCGATCAACTTGCTTTGTTATCAAACAGTTTTTTTCTTAATTTCAATTTTTTTTTTTCAAAAAAATGGATATTTTTTTAATATGACAATAACTCCTCCTCCTTCTGATACTGAGGTTTCTGCACTTGAAAAAAAAAAATCTGGGGCGTATCACGCAAATAATCGGTCCGGTACTCGATGTTGTTTTTCCACCAGGGAAGATGCCTTATATTTGACAACGCTCTGATAGTTCAAGGTCGAGATACGGTTGGCCAACAAATTAACGTAACGTGTGAAGTACAGCAATTATTAGGAAATAATAGAATTAGAGCTGTAGCTATGAGTGCTACAGATGGTCTAAATAGAGGAATGGAAGTGATTGACACGGGAGTTGCTCTAAGTGTTCCAGTCGGTGGAGCAACCCTAGGTCGAATTTTCAACGTGCTTGGAGAGCCTATTGATAATTTGGGTCCTGTAGATACTCGCACAACATCTCCTATTTCATAGATCTGCGCCTGCCTTTATACAGTTAGATACACAATTATCCATTTTTGAAACAGGAATTAAAGTAGTCGATCTTTTAGCTCCTTATCGCCGTGGCGGAAAAATAGGACTTTTCGGTGGAGCTGGGGTAGGTTAAAACAGTTCTCATTATGGAATTGATCAATAACATTGCCAATGCTCATGGAGGTGTATCCGTATTTGGCGGAGTAGGTGAGCGTACCTCGTGAGGGAAATGATCTTTATATGGAAATGAAAGAATCCGGAGTAATTAATGAAAAAAATATTGCGGAATCAAAAGTAGCTCTAGTCTACGGTCAAATGAATGAACCGCCCGAGCTCGTATGAGAGTTGGTTTAACTGCCCTAACTATGGCAGAATATTTCCGAGATGTCAATGAGCAGGACGTCCTTCTATTTATCGACAATATCTTCCGTTTTGTCCAAGCCGGATCCGAAGTATCCGCCTTTAGGGCCGAATGCCTTCCGCTGTGGGTTATCAACCCACCCTGGGTACTGAAATGGGTACTTTACAAGAAAGAATTACTTCTACCAAAGAAGGGTCTATAACTTCTATTCAAGCAGTTTATGTACCTGCAGACGATTTGACTGATCCTGCTCCTGCCACGACATTTGCACATTTGGATGCAACTACTGTACTATCAAGAGGATTAGCTGCCAAAGGTATCTATCCAGCAGTAGATCCTTTAGATTCAACGTCAACCATGCTCCAACCTCGCATCGTCGGTGAAGAACATTATGAAACTGCGCAAAGAGTGAAACAAAACGTTACAACGTTACAAAGAACTTCAGGACATTATAGCTATTCTTGGGTTGGACGAATTATCCGAAGAGGATCGCTTAACCGTAGCAAGAGCACGAAAAATTGAACGTTTCTTATCACAACCTTTTTTCGTAGCAGAAGTATTTACCGGTTCCCCAGGGAAATATGTTGGTCTAAGCAGAAACAATTCGAGGATTTAAATTGATTCTTTCTGGAGAATTAGATAGTCTTCCTGAACAAGCCCTTTTATTTGGTGGGTAATATCGATGAAGCTACTGCGAAGGCTACGAACTTAACTTAGAAAATGGAGAACAAATTCAAGAAATGACTTTAAATCTTTGTGTACTGACCCCCAATCGAATTGTTTGGGATTCAGAAGTGTAAGAAATTATTTTATCTACTAATAGTGGACAAATTGGGGTATTAAAAAATCATGCGCCTATTGGCCACATCTTTAGATATAGGTATTTTGAGAATACGCCTTAACGACCGATGGTTAACGATGGCTCTGATGGGCGGTTTTGCTAGAATAGGCAATAATGAGATCACTATTTTAGTAAATGATGCAGAAAGGGGTAGTGACATTAATCCACAAGAAGCACAACAAACTCTTCAAATAGCAGAAGCTAACTTGAATAAGGCTGAAGGCAAGAGACAAACAATTGAAGCAAATCTAGCTCTCCGGCGAGCTAGGACACGAGTAGAGGCTATCAATATGATCTCATAACAAGTTGGTGCAGCCAAAAAATAGAAAAAAGATAGAAAATTACAATAAAACAATGGTGAGTAGAAAAAATTATTAGATACCGGAATTAATGGTATCTAATAAGTTCTACCAATACCTTACCTACTATTGGATTTGAACCAATGACTCCTGCCGTATGAAAGCAATACTCTAACCACTGAGTTAAGTAGGTCATTTATCATCCTAAATAAAAAAAGTAGCTGTCTATCAGATCAATGGATTATAAATGTTATATTACTTATAAACAATACAAACGCAATATAAATCAAAGAGATTGGATCATGTCATATTTATCTTGACAAGAATTTATTTATCGAATATGATCAAATATGTATCCAAAGCACAAGGGCTATAGCTCAGTTAGGTAGAGCACCTCGTTTACACATGCGCCAATGTTTTTTCATAGGAGTCCATCATGTAATTAAAAGAGTTGATCTTAATTGATAAATCGATGTCTTACTCCCGGAACAAAATAAGAGAACAATAGCCTGACAAAGGATTTTAGACGTCAAATGGAATCCATAATGGATTTGAGATATTGATACGGTGAATACTTAATCTATTCAATGCTAGGCAATGAGTCTAGGGACCTCAAAAAAAATCTCTTTTCTTCCTATCTTATGAACTTTAAGGTGTATGAAGTTTCATTTCCTATTTGATATTTTTATTGAAGTAGGTTGATAGAGAGTCCATTTAACTTAAGTTGATCCAGAGCCAGAAGCAGACCTACGTCAGGATAACCTTCTTCTTTGAAAAAACTTTGGTAGTGCTCTTAGATTTTGATCTAAATAAGAAATCAGAGCACAGGAGTCATTTCCTTTTTCTTTGTGTAAAGAAAAAAGATGGTAGACTAATTGATATTTCTATCAGTTAATGAAAAAGCCCAATGCAAAAAAAATGCACGTTGGGTCTTTCAACAATTCAAATCATTTGATAATAATAAATAATAGTTTGATGTGTTTTACCGAGAAGGTCTACGGTTCGAGTCCGTATAGCCCTAATATTACTACCGATACTACTCAGATTTAGATTTCTTTATCTAATATCTGTCATTACAAATATATATGTACTAATACTATATGTACTCAAGATTAGTACTATATTGAATACTCCATACTAGTAATACTACTAGTATAAATATACTTTCAATACTTTTTGTAATAGAAAGAATGAATAAAGTAATTTCTATTCGAATAGATTAATAGTGGATAGAATAATATGAGTATTAGTATACTCAGATAATAATCTCAATTTTATTAGAAAAAATGTAAACTTAAGAAAATACAAAGCATTTCTATTTAGATTCTATTAATGAATCTAAGAATTTGAAAATTTCAATTCAAATCGACTCAGAATTAATATGAATCCAGTATATTTTCCCCATTCCTAGGAGGACATTTATGTTTTTGCTTTATGAATATGATATTTTTTGGACATTTCTAATAATATCGATCTTTATTCCTATTTTGGCATTTCTAATTTCTGGAATTTTAGCTCCAATTAGGAAAGGGCCAGAAAAACTTTCTAGTTATGAATCCGGAATAGAACCGATGGGCGATGCTTGGTTACAATTTCAAATCCGTTATTATATGTTTGCTCTAGTTTTTGTTGTTTTTGATGTTGAAACAGTCTTTCTTTACCCTGTGGGCAATGAGTTTTGATGTATTGGGGGTATCCGTATTTATAGAAGCTTTCATCTTCGTGCTTATCCTAATTGTTGGTTTAGTTTATGCATGGCGAAAGGGAGCATTAGAATGGTCTTAATTCTTGAATATTTAGACAATTAAACAAAAACATTGAGACAGTTATGAATTCCATTGAGTTTCCCTTACTTGATCAAAAAACCAAAAATTCAGTTATTTCTACTACATTAAATGATCTTTCAAATTGGTCAAGACTATCTAGTTTATGGCCGCCCTTCTCTATGGTACTAGTTGTTGCTTCATTGAATTTGCTTCATTTAATAGGATCCGCGATTTGACTTTGATCGTTATGGACTGGTACCAACGCTCTAGTCCTAGGCAGGCAGACCTCCATTTAACAGCGGGCACCGTAACTATGAAAATGGCTCCTTCTTAGTTCGATTATATGAGCAAATGCCCGAACCAAAATATGTTATTGGCTATGGGAGCCTGTACAATTACAGGAGGTATGTTCAAGTACCGATTCTTATAGTACTGTTCGGGGCGTGGATAAGCTAATTCCTGTGGATTTATATTTGCCGGGCTGTCCACCTAAACCGGAAGCCGTTATAGATGCTATAACAAAACTTCGTAAGAAAATATCTCGAGAAATCTATGAAGATCAATTTAGTTATCAACGAGAGAATAGGTGTTTTACTACCAACCACAAAATTTATGTTGGACGCGGTACTCATACCGGCAATTATAATCAAGGATTATTCTATC